ATACTGTTGATATAACATTTATAAAAAAAACTTCATCTTAATGGGAGGGATCGATGAAAGAATCGTTTCGTGGGATTTTGAACTAAAAACGATTGTTTATATCACTGTAATAAAAAATAAATATTGTTTGACAACGTTGTAGAAAGTAAAAACCTCTTATCCAAATTGTCAAAATGCAAATATCAGTTATAACACCTGTAGATTGTGTCTAAAATATTTGTTTGGTTTAAAACACTTTCCAGTCATAAAACTTCAGTTGTTAGTTAGGAAATTACGTCATTAATCATTAAAATCATTAATTTTGTAAACATTTCTTTTCGGCGTTAAAACAAAATTTTCCGCATAATTATGCAAAAATAATTACCGTGTGTATTTCTTTTAGAGAGACTACTTGGTGTCATGATAAGATACGTCGATATTTACGAAACAACCATTAAATAGTATATTACAAATATTCGTAATATAGAAAAACTATGTTACAGATATTCGTAATATTGATTATTACGCCTTTTTGTAATGTAGGCCTTATATTACACAAAGCTGTATATGTTACTATTTCTCGTAATATTACGAGTTTGAGTAACATTACGAATAACAATAATCGCCTGGACTGTTATCGGGAACCCTCAAAACCTTTTACGAAAGATATTTCCAAATGTCGACATTTTATCCAAAATAAGAAAGTAGATGTAAAATTATTAGTCCAAATAAAAAATACCAAAATTCTCATATTTGGAATCGAGTTTGATAAGAACATGTTGTAATTATGGAAAAGTAAAATAAGAAAAATACCGAACTCCAAGGAAAATTCAAAACGAAAAGTCCCTTATCAAATGTCAAAATCAAAAGCTCAAACACATCAGACGAATAGAAAACAACTGTCATATTCCTGACTTGGTACAGGCATTTTCAAATGCACTTACTGGATATATACATTATTTCTTAAATTTTCGTTTTGTCAAAATTATTCAGACATGAAGCTACGTTATGACTTTGAAAGACTCCACTTCATTTGAACTTTGGTGGATAGTTGTCTCATTGGAAATCATACCACATCTCCTTATTTTTATATTCATAACGTGATTATTTGTCAATGTTTGAAAATATTATATATTAATATCACTAATGAAGGCGATTTGATATATATGTGTGTGTATATCAACCTTATATAGATTCGAAAAGAAGTTAAATGAAATATAAAATAATTCGTTTATTTTGTTCGCTCCTCTGTTTCAAAATAACAAGCTTTTTAAAAGACTGTTATAAATTAATAGTATATTAATAACAGAACTTAAAAAGTAGAAAAAAATGACAGGTCCGTGTCCTTGTTTTTAAGATATAATCAATTGAAAATTTGCCGGGAAATGATTCTCTCTAGATTTTTCTTACATTTAACACTGGCACCTTTTTTCTTTTGAAAACTATGAAAACATAACAAAACTATATGCAATAAGATTATGAAAAGAAAAGTAGGGGTCTGCGGGCAAAATTGTTATTGGCGCTACATGTATTTAACTAGAGGATTCCGTATATCTGTCATAAAGTTCAAAACATGAGTAGCGAACATACTTAAGTTAAACACAATACATCTCACCGGCAACATGACGCCAAATTTGGGTCCGAATCATATGGCAATAGTAGTTCCTGAAGTCACGGTGTCAATAAAGAAATTCAGTTAAAATTTGCTTACCAGATTAAGAATTCGGTGGTCCCATGGACAGATAGGTCAGTCGAGGTCAATATTCCGGACTACGACAATCTTCACTGAACAAGGGCTACAACTCAAACTGGTATTTAATGGGGATTTTAGATATAATATTTTTGCTAAACCCAAAGTAGGTAATGACTTTATCTATTTATCTAAATGTTTTGTTTTATTCAACTCATAAATCAGTCGTTGGTTGCTATTTTTTTATTACATAATAAACATCGGGCACTATCTAATCTCCGTCTTCTCTATGGACATTCAGACCCATGTATTTATTTTTTATTATCATTTTTTTTTATTGCTTACTATTACTAGTACCTTAGATATCGAAATTTATAATATATAGAGATAATTAGCCACTTATCAATAATGAATGACATCATAAACGTCTCATAATCGTAAAGGTTTACGTAAACAAATATGTATATCTTCGTAATACTATAAGGATTACAACCACTCACAACTTCACATCACTCGCGACACAACACGCAACACTAAGGAAAAAATATTTAGTAAGATTAAAGAATATTATATATGAATATCACTGGTTTCAAAGTTTTCGCCTTTTACTTTCGATAGTATTGTTACGATGACAATAATTTCTCAAGTCGCATATACTTGTGTGCTCAAACACCATTATATACAAGACTTAATGAAAGATAATAATAAATGCATACCTATGTTGTTTAGAGATTTTTCAGTGAAGAAAGAACAACAGCTAGATTGAAATGTGCTTAAAGAATGCAGTTAAACAATCAGCTAAAGAAAAGCTATTAATTGGTAAATCTATATACGTCATGTTTTTTAATGTGCCTTACTTTAATGAAAATTTTTAGATACATTGGGAGGTAAACACATTTGATCTCTGGTGGAGAGTTGTCTCATAGACAATCATACCACATCTTCTTATTTTACATTGACCGTTATTCATTTTGTATGAATTGAAGCGTGGACTGTCGATATCAAATGTCGTATGAAACATAAAAACATACACACAAATAAACAAAATACAAATGCATATTATACATTTATATACTAATGCGGTCTCTTGTATATATATGTGTGTATCAACCTCTTTTTGTTGAATTTATTATCCATGTGGACTTTCGATATCAAATGTCAAATGAAACATAAAAACATACACACAAATAAACAAAATACAAATGCATATTATACATTTATATACTAATGCGGTATCTTGTATATACATGTATGTATCAACATCATTTTGTTGAATTTATTATCGTATTTATATGGAGGATGTATATATGTTTTTTTTATTTATTTGTATTATGACTGTTTCTGTATTGTCTTTGTAGATATTCCAACATAGCAGCAGCCAGTGCAGATGTAATATGTGACGAATTTTTCCTTTATATTTACTTGTTCAATAAATTTAATAAACTCGAAACGATCCAGAAACAACAAGGGCAATCGCATAAACAATTTGAAGAAGAGAGGTAAAAGATACCAAACGTAAATTCAAACTGATAAGTCGAAAATAAACTGACAACGCCATGGCTACAAAAGAAAAAGACCAACAAACAAACAACAGTACACAAAAACAACATAGAAAACTAAAGACAGAGCAATACGAACCTCACCAAAAACTGGGGGTGATCTAGGTGCTCCGGAAGGGTAAGCAGATCCTGCTCCACATGTGGCACCCGTCGTGTTGCTCATGTATGTACAAACCCGGTAATAAATCTAATTCGGTAGGTCAAATTCGCGGAAAAGGGGAAGCGATTGTAGTTACGACAATTGGAACATATCCGATATCATCTGTGAAACGGATATTCCATAACGGAATTGAAGATTCCCGTACAATTATCGAACAGTCTTGGCTTAAACGACTGCAGACAGCATATCCCTGGGTCTAAATGACAATATAATGGGACAAGGGAACATATCTAAAACTTCTTTTATTGATATCATGAATATTGTTGATAAAAATCAACGTAATAATAGGTCTCGTGGCAAACGTCTCAATCGAAACAATCGAAATCGAATTAAACATCATATAAATTATACTCTTGATGATCTCCTATCTATATTTAAATACAACGGTAGGCATCAATTATTATGTAAACTGGACCAAATACCAATTAGTAAATTACATGATATTTTCAAGGAGTGTGACACAAGCAGGTTCTTCAGCCCACTCTATGAATATTCGCGTATAATTACAGCATTTTGCCACCATAGGATGTTCCTTGTCGATAAACCTGAAGATAATAAACGGCATTTTCTGAAAATTAAATATATTAACAGAGGTATTGATTTAATCAACTTAAATCGAGTATATCTAATGACTCTTCCATTCAAAACAGTATACCTCCTATTTTGATAACACAGAACTATCGATTATTTCGTATACATACAAAAAACCCTGCAGAAGTTTAATTTTCAGACGTCATTGAAAAAAATAATACTCCTCTAAATCGAGATTGTGCATCTTCGAATTTTAGATATGATCCCTATGGCCATTTTATTACGAGGGACCTCAATATCGTTCAAGACCGAGAGGTTATTAACATTTTTGAAAAATGGACCAAAATATCGTCTTCCATCTAAAATAGATTGGAAACAGTTTCGTCAGGCCATAAAAGGCGCTCTTTCATTGTATTGTAAAAATCGGTGTAAACGGGGAAAATCTGATAGATTATTTATTAGTTGTAATTGGCTTTCAACTGGCTAGTATTCTTATATCGGTGCTTTGTGTTTATTGTTTTTATGTTAGTTGTTTTGTGCTTCATACCAACCTATTAAGTTAAGCCAATTGAAACAGATTTTTACAGTTGATCTTATGTTGTGCTTTTACGCCACTGTCACGGGTTAGGGGAAGATTCAGCGCTCAAACATGTTTAACCCCACCACTTTCTTTACGTGACTGTCCATATTTGTTTTCGTGAATTGTTTTCAAATTCTTATGAATAAGCCAATTAGTTTTCTCGTTTGAATTGTTTCACAATGTTTTATAGCTGACTATATAGACGGTATGGGTTTTCTCGTTGTTAAGACCGTAGAGTGACCATGATTGCTCATATCCACGTCATTTGAACTAAGGTGGATGGTTGGGGCATTGGCAATCATACCTCGTCTCATAAAAGAGAGGCGAAAGACACCAAAGAGACATTCAAACTCATAAGTCGAAAATAGAAAACTAAAGACTGAGCAACACGAACACCCATGAGTTGCAGCAAATCAATTTACAATCTTATTTTTCAAGGAACATATGGCCACTAGAATGTTAAGAAAAAAAGGTATCATTCAAAGATGAAAAAAAAACTAATATAGAGATCAACTATAAATTTATTTAGTTCAGCTTCAATGATGAAAGATCCAGTTTGTGGTGCCACACACCATCTAATCTCTTTTCACCTGAAAAAATACAATTATCATTAATATTATTATCATATTATTAATATTATTATTATTATAATATTATTATTATTATTATTATTATTATTATTATTATTATTATTATTATTATTATTAGGTAGTAGTAGTAGTAGTAGAAATAATAATAATTCAAAAAGTCAATATAATGAATAATCATTCTTTATGTTATTACCAGTAACCTTACGATTCTATCCAAAGTGTTGCCATTAGCATCTCTTTTTATTCTGTTAAATTCAAGCCGTCCGGGTGGTGGGATTCCACTAGCTGTCCCTGCTAAAACTGATATTACCATCATCAATATGGCACACAGAATCTTGAATATTTTCATCTTGCAGAGGATTTGTTCACCTAAAGGATATGTAATAATGTATGATAAAATTTTCCTGCGTATGAATTTCCGAATATATAACCTTCATCATATACGCTCAAAACATGAAAAAAAAGTTTGGAAAGCATAATGTGCTGTATTTTAAATCACATTTAAACATATTTAACGGGAAAATATAGCTAAGCTGAAAATCGCTGCTTTTGTTTGAAACTTACATGATATAGTTGATATCTCCCTCTTTTTAAATGATCCTGCTCTCGTTCAGACACTGTAAATAAAATTTTCTAAATTTTCTGTTTTAAGTGTAGAAATTTTATGTGACTTTATATATGAAGTCAGAGTGATTTTCAATTTAAGCAGGCGCTTAAGACATATGTGACCGCCCATGACATTTTCAGGCTTATGGAGATATAACGTCATTGTAAAAAAAAACGCCGTTAACTAAAAACGTTACGTCACATTAGTATTTGTGCATTGTACATCACATTTTTCTAATGAATAGTTATCAAATACCAAATAAAATGCTATACAGGTTCTACATTGTTTATAAAACCTCACCAATGATACTATATTTACAATTTAATCACCATAAAATATATGTGTAACACTGGAACAGCCAATAATAAGAATACATTTATACACATTCATGAATGTAGCCTTACGATTTTTAGGGTAATTGTATTTGAATATGGTTAAATCTCTTTTCAAGTACTTTATATCAAAAATTACTTCTGTAAGTGAAAAAGGGTACCAAAGCTTGCCTAAAGCCGTGAGCTGAACGTGGATCAGCATATAAAATTAGTCTTGCAGCCCTTTCCTGGAAATTTATTATTCTTACTAGCTCATTTTTAGCACAAACACTCCAAATAATACAACTATAATCTATCAGTGGGAGAATGTAACCATTATAAAATAATTTTCTTGGATCAATATTTAGAAATTTTTTGATCTTAGAGTGTAAATGAAGTCTAGATGATATTGATGAACATAAGTAATTAACATGGCCTGTCTGTTACAGATTAGAGTCAATTCTAACACCTAAAAGTTTTTCAATTGATGATTTTTGGAGAATAATATTCTCAAAAGTTAGAACTGGTTCTGCTTGATGGAAACGCAGCCTTTGTGTTGTACCTATAACCATACATTTAGTTTTATCCGAATTTATGAACATGTTATTTTCATGACATCATTTTTCAACATATTGGAGATCATCTTGTACTTTTAACTGCATATCAGCAATACTCTAGTTGTGTCATCAGCATAAAAGTTTGTATGGCAGTTTTTGATATATAATGGAAGGTCATTTATGTACAAAACTAACAAAATGTGACCAAGTATTGAGCCTGATAAATTTTTTATCAGAATATTGATCACTTAAATGGACTTGCTGTGTTCTTTCTTTCAAATATGATTTTAAAAAATCAACAGTATTGTCATGGAAGCCATCGATTTGAAGTTTTTTTTTTACATAAAACTTCATGATCAACAACATCAAAAGCTTTTTTAAAATCCAGGAGAACTGCCATATTGATATTTCCATTATTCATTTCATGTAGCCATTGATCAATGATATTAATGAGAATGGTTAGGTTTAAAACCAGATTGGGAAGGGTGTAAAATTTGAAACTTAGTCAAATAATCATACAGATGTTTAGAGCAAATGAAAAGGCCAAATCGTTATTAATTTACAGTGTAAATGCAGTTTATAGTTCTTAAAATGTTATAAAAGAACATTTTAAAGAATTCCATAATATTATGTAGTAAAATTATAAAATCAAACCGCATTCTGTTAGAACTTTAACAATTAATATTCTTGAAAACCTCACGTACTTTTTCAGTTTTTATTTTTGTTTAACATTTCAACATAACACTGTATCCCATTATACATACTTTTCAGCGCTATTGCCTAAATGAATATGTAAAGTATTTAAGTTTCCATACGAATGCAATCATCATTAAGAGAATGAGTCGTGTGAATGTTATAATTATGGAAATCCTATTTTTCTAAATGTAAGGAAATTGAATATTTTAAAAGTGCAATATCATTGAATGAGGTTAACAATAAATCTATGTAGCAACTTTTTGTTCATTTGTTTTTGAATAAAAAAAAACATTTTAAATACATTTTTTTGGGGATAGAACACTACAATACACAATATTCTTTTACAAATCATTTCAATTTTTGTATTAGAGATATACCATGGATTTTTTTAATTCTGAGATATCCCAAATTCTGTAACGCTTGATTTGCTGAATATGACTCAACGATTGAGTTGAAATAATTCTAAAAAAAAAATGCATAGTACTAAGATAATTTTGATAACAATTGTTTTAGAGATGTAACATCTGAAAATACAACATTATAAAATTATTTTCTCTGAACTTCCAATGTCCAACTAGTATAGTTCTGACAAAAACTCGTAGAATGTAGAAATTTCGGTTGATAGTTGTATAGGGAGATAAACCATACAATTTGGATCTCAAATATAAAATATCTCCATTTTTATCAAACATCGACATAGAACATTATAAGAACCATACGACGATTTGTTCTATGTCCAGTCAATTAATGTAAGACGATATACGTAAAGATATGTGATGAATTATTAGGAGTCCAAATCCTCAAAATATCCATATATATAAGTAAACAAAAAAGATCAGAAACAATATAAGACATTTATCATAGTCCTATTAAGTTGTTGTAGCATGGGAGATCTAAAATATATTTTTCTTCATAAGTTGAAGCCTTGTAAAAATAATATATAAATCAACAAACACTTACAAATTAAAGACTGTTTTCAGATAGTTCCTTCAATTTCCTCTGTCGAAGTATGTGTGGAGAATGTAACTACATGTACTTTACTTTGGTTATATTCTTTGCTTGAAAATACACAAGTACTGGAGAAATTTTACGCTTTTGTTTGAATTTGAAATTATTTTATTCTGCATAAATTGAGAAACAAGCTGTCAAAGTGTTTGAAATCCAAAATTATCTGCTCTATAGAGTTTTCATAAATAAAATCATTAGAATTGCACCATCATAATAAATACATCATCATTTTTCAACCTAAACCTTATATAAACCGTTAAGCTTCGCATGCTATGTTTGGTACAGACTTGCAAAATTCAAACTTAATAGAAAACAAAAGACACCCACTCCAGGCTGTGACAAAACTAATTTCATTGCAAGTTTAAATTACATTTTCTAAAATAAAAACTTGTTCAAAAAGGTCGTTAGAAATTACTCAGCGCCGATGAAATATGTGACCCGCCATACAATTTCCATGCAAGCTTATGGAGGTATAACGTCATTTTTATCTTGAGAATCCAGTAGGGTACACTTCAGGTCACAAAGTTGCGTTTAGAAATTGCCTCAGATCACCAAACTCTAGACTTTCAAATGATAAAGATATTAGCAAATATATTTGTCACCGTACGGCTTAAATCATGAGCAAAACCCATACCGCATAAAAAGCTATAGTAGACTTTGCATGATTTCTATCCTCAAAAAATAATGCTTTGACTTATCTCCTGTAGATAAATCCGATATCTTTGATGAGAAGGTTTGTCCGATCTGATGTTTCTGAATGTATATACATCGTGTACGGAGACGCACCTCTTCATAAGTATATGGAGATGTGTTATGATTGACAATGTGACAACTATCCGAAGAAACCAAAGAACAAAGATGTCAATAATTACAGGTCACCAAACGGTCTTCAACAATGAACAGAACCCACTCCGTACATCAAGTTAAAACAGAAATCATTGAAACACTATATGATGAAACAACTCATAAGAGAAAACGTCTTATTTATGTAACAAAAAATTTGTTCCGTCGTGACATTTGTTCTTCCGGAACTTATTTCATAGGAAATATGTTCCACCAGAATTTATATCACAGAAAATTTATACCAGGAATATGTATTATAAGAAAATATGTTCCACCTCTGCAAAATTTGTTCCGCAACTAATTTTTTTACCAAATGTGAAATAAGTTCTGGAACGAAAATCACAGCGCCATGAATTTTGTTCCAATATTAAATGTTTAAAAAAAGTGAAATAAGTTTCTGTGATAGAAGTTCCTAAAGAACATATTCATAGAATCCGCTCGAACCTATTTCACAGAAAACAAGTTCCTTTGCAACATATTTCACAGCGTATCATTTTCTTGTTACACTTAAATGTTAATACAAGCTGCATGCTGTACTGAGCTTGAATGGGGTACATTTGCAATTGAAGGCATGACTGCAACTATAGGATGAAGAACATAAATAAAAGCGATGGTAATGTATTATAATTTGTATTTGTTTATGTTTTATGTGGTATTCCTTCTTGTTTCCTGTTAACTGTCATGGGTGTTATAGTTTAACATGATGCATTAACATTATATGAAGCGAAGCATTCTATAGTTGTACCTGACAAATTTAATACTCATCATTGAAGTCTTTAAACAACACAAGAACATTCAAAATATGATAAATCTTTTAGAAATTTAAATCAAGTAAGCATATATATTGTACGTAGATAATATGATTAAAAAATAAATGCACAACTAAGATTAACAACTGTGTTTCAGGAAAGATAAGACATCCCAAAGCATTTTTTACAGTCGGTTGTAAAATACAGTAAAGCTGTTGTTATTTCGTTA